AGCTGCTGTTCCTAAACTTTGAGCTTTGCCTATAGAAGTATGCAAACACAATTTTTTTAATTCTTTATTTATTTTTAAAGAGTGCAAGTTATATTAATGGTTTTGTATGAAACTGCCTTTAAGTTTCATACTACGCTTGTGCCCTGGTTTCGCCTGGGGCAGAGTTAATTTTCTTCTTAGTAGCTGGTGCAATGCTATGTTTTGGATTTAGCCTGAGAACAATGCTGATAATACACCGATGTTTTAGTTGTTGCTAAGTAGCACTTACCCTGATCAAGGACTTTTCAGTCTCTTATGCTCTGCCAGAGAGGAGGGGCACAAGAAGCCAGGAGGGAGCACAGCCAGGACAGCTGAACCAAACTAGCCAAAGGGGTCTTCTATACCACAGCATGTCACGTCCTGTATAGAAACTGGGAAAGTTGGGACAGGGTTTATTCCTCGCTCCTCCCCTCCCCCCTTGCTTTTCAAGATAATAATTCTTATATTTTACTTTTACTTCAATTATTGAAGTGTTCTTATCTCAACCCATGGTTTTTTACCTTTTTTCTGAGTCTCCTCCCCATTCCCCTGAGGTGGGGAATAAGTGAGATGCTGTGTGGTACTCAGTTGGCCAGCTGGGCTCAAACTATGACAGGCTGCCACACAGGAGTGCAACAGACTAGACAGTGTCTAAACCCCAAACCACTCTGCAGCCTCTCCTTGAAGCACAGAAATAAATCAACAGATAACATGCTGCAAATTCTACTCACTTGTTACTCTTGGGCAGAGACATGATTCATTTGTTTTCATACATTCATCCTCCAGCTCCTCATCATCTGCACGGTTCTCATACCACTTTCCAGTTCCTGCACAGCATACTGGCAGTGCAGTGCCCAACACAGCATTGTTATGAACAGCAAAGACCAAGGCAATGTACAGAAAACCATGCCGTTTGATGCCAGGCTAGCTGAGATAGGCCAGGTAAGCATGAAAGGAATGGCTCAGTTAGGATCAATCGAGCATAATCAATCAGGACAACAGCTCCGTCTGAGGAGATAAAACCACATTTGCATTTACACTCTAACCTGTTCTCTCAAAGGAGAACATTAGGATGTTTGCCTAGATGTTCCAAATTACTTGGAAAAAAGGTGCTTTGATTCAGATAGCAATTATAGTGTGCTGATTGCTTTGGCTCTTTCTGCAGCAAAACAAAACACTAGCTCACACCAAGGGACTTGGGTGCTTCCAGGGGGATAAACTCCTGCACGGTTCTCTGGGAGGTGGTTTGAAGCATATTGTGTGCTGCCAATCATGGACATACTGGAAGAATCTTTCTTAACAAAAAACAACCAGGATTAATCACTAAGCTCATAGAAAGTGAGGGGAGAAGCAGTAAATGGAGGATGAGGTGAGACACAGGGACACTCTGGATCCTAGGATGTTTTTAGCATTTTTATCTGGTTAGATGCCACAGGAAGGCAGCCTGAAGCATGCCTGCTTGCAGGGTAGCAGCCTCTGTGTGTTAGATTGTATGACAGTAGAGTGTAGATGGCCCAGTGGGAAAGCTGATAAAAGGCAAAGCTTTACTAGTAATCACAGAGAGTTTGAAAAAGGCTATGGCTGTTTGCTTTCAGCCTTATCCTGACCTTGTGATTAGGAATGCACTGATCATTATTTGCTTATTAAGACTTGAAAACAGTGGGCAGAAATCTACTCTTCTTCTCTCTACAATCAGTCAAGTGTTCATATGAGCTTTTAGATTATAGAGCAGATGCTGTGACTACTGAACTGAGATTTTCCAGGGACATTACGGGCTTTAGAACATGTCCTGCTTAACTGGAATGAACTAAAACAAACATTTCCTCTCTGTTTAGATATTAAACTGAAGTGCATTGAACCATTTCTTCCTTTCACACAGGGAGACCTATAAGCCATATACTCAAATACAGGCTTGGGATGACCTGTAAGGTTTGGTAGCCAAAAGCAGTTCCTTGAAACAAAAGGTGTAAGCCTCCTTGCATCTCTGAGTTAAGACCAAGGCCAAGGGAAAGTGGGGTTTTATTCAGTCATGTCCTCCTGCTTTCTGTTAGCTAATTTGATTGTGGCTGTTTTGGATCTATTTTAAGATTCTTCCCTTAAAGTATCTTTGTTTCTTCAAGGAACTGCATCTCTGAGGGTAACTTGTGAGCCAATTCATCTCCAAACGCAATCTGAGTGCTCGAATTCTGGAAAATAGCTTCTATCTGTAAAAAAATACACCTCCCTGAACACTTCATGAATGGTGCTTATATAATGTTTTGAATTTCTTAGACTGTAACACCCAACATTTTATATCTAAACTGTTAATGTTCTGTAAAGTAGCACACTCAGCCATTTTAATAACCTCGAGGTACTCTGTAAAAAACCCCAAAAAACTAAAAATGCGTATATTCCTCAACGACCAAAATGGAAAATAAGACCTCAAATTTTCCTCTCAACCAATTCCAAGTCAGTTCCCTAATATGACCATAATATTAGAATAAAACATGTAAGCCAAGGATAATGCTATGCTCAATATTTTATTTTTATTTTTATGTAAACATAATTTGCTTTGTAGGCACAATATAACAGAAGCTCTAAAGCAACAAATACAATTAAACAGTGTTTCAGTTCACTTCAATCAGGATTAAGTTAAAGAGAAGCTTTCACAGTTCCTTTAAGGCAAATTGAGAAATAATTTCACTTGAAGAAATGATCCAATTGTCTTACGAGTTGTTGAAAAACACTGTCAGTAGTAAGCACAAACCTTCATTTCCACTACAGTAAGACTTGGCCAGTAACAAGTCTCAGCATCGTCATTTTGGATAGTGTGCCCTCTACCACTTCAGATGCGATACTACTGCTTGTGGTATTCCAAAAGGTACTTAGGGCTTGTGGGCCAAATTCTGCTAGCACAAATCCTGCTTCCAGAACAGATACCTGGAAAATTTCCATTCATTTCAGTAGTAACCTTCACATATGCCATGTTAATACCAGTAAAACACAGAGCAGAGTTTAGGCTGATGATGGTAGTGCTTATCTGTGTTGCACTTGGGTAGATCCAGAAGTATTCCTTTGTACTCACTACAATTACCTGATATTCTGATCAGAAAATGGCCCTCAAATTGGTATGGAACAGCATGAAGAGTATTCTTGCCTTGCTAACAAAACCAGAAAGAACTAGCAAAAATTACTTCACTTGATTGTTGTCCCTATGGTGTCTGTGGCCATGTCCAAGATCACCCATCTTTATTTGTCTCGAAGGGTAATTTAAGTGTAGAGCCAACTATACCATGGTTTACAACACGGAAGAATGGATTTGCTATTCTGCTTGCCCTACTAATTTAAGGCCTTAAGAATGCCACTTTACTGCCAGCTCTAAGGTCACCAGCAACATTGCTCACTTTGGCGTCAAATCAAAATTTCTAGTTACGTTAAGGTTTGTTGCAGGACACCATTACACTAACTGCAAAACAAAATTGGCCATGTTTCCTACTGCTGTCAGCTTCTGAGTCGTGAAAACTTAATGACCTTTCTTAAAAGCCCAATTGTCAAGCCCAATACACCGAAATTCTCACTGAATATATATTTTTTTCTGTGGATAAAGTCCTGTTTGGGCCTGATGTGGCACTGGAAGTGTAGGCAAATTCAGCTTGAAAAGAAATTAATTATAGTGAAGTTCTGTGTCAACATCTAGAGAAAACTAAAGTTCTGGTTCAGTTAATATTTCAAAAGCTCTTTTGGCATTTCTCTGCAGAGTTATTTCTTCTCACTATTTCTGAGTTTAACCCAAGGGAAAATCCTTCTGAATGAACATTCTGCACAATTATCTGGTATGAGAACAGCAACTTCATGAGTACAGTGTAAGGAGATGGACATTAATACTCAGGAAGAAAGATGAAACAAACAGAAAAAACAAGAATCTTCTCAAACCACACATAAACGTCATCCAGACCCACAAGTCTTTTCACACTGATAAAAGCCCCAGGAGCCCTCCTGCTCTACTTTTCTGTGTTAGTTTTTAACGTCTATCACTACAGAATACTTGTAGATTTAGGTGAACAACTAACCATGCCTGGGGAAATATTTTCTTTTGAAAAAAGAAAAAAAAAGAACAAAAAAAAAAAAAAAAGAATTCAAAGGTACATGGCATTATATAAGATCTCTGACATTCCTGTTTCTACTGTAGGTGATTGCAGTCATTTCAGAATAGTTGTTTTAACAAAACAATCGAGGACCTAAGTAGCTGCTGCTTTGACAGGTGAAAGACATGGAAAAAAGATTTACTTTTGTCATGTTTAGATATAGTTTCCACTAGTGGGAGGTAGATAAGACTCACTGGTCTCCGAACACTTGATCCTGCAAATAATTACAAACATTACTTACATATGGAGCAGAGCTTTTGACCGAACTACTGATCTAGATAAGGTTACCCCTGTGCATAATTTCCGATGGGATTAAGGCCTAAAACTCATTTTTAACAGCTCCTAATTCTGTAGGAGCTCAGCTCCAGCTTGATAGTTGATCAACACATTCAGAGCAGTAAACTCCGTCAACATATTTCTTTCCCCATACTGATGAGTAATCCCTACCAATATGATTTAAAAATGAGATTTAAAATTGGTTTGTATTTTGGACACAGAAGCATCAATGTGCCCTTGGCAGAAGATGTTGATCTGTCAATAACAATACTAAGCACTACAGGCAATTAAAGTTCTGGGTCTAAAAATAGTGGGTCACTGTCCTTTTTCTTTGCCTGTAACATACGGGGTGATAGCTCAGATCAACAGGAAAGCATGATGAGTTGGCACTCAGAATGAAGTATTTAATTACTAGTGCTGATGACTAATGTGATTATACAATACGAATTAAAGTCTCTCAATTAATAGTTTCTTGCCCAATTTCAGATTCCACAATTCTAAAAGAGATATTTCTGAAAATGAAGATAGGATTGCTTATGCAATGATAAAGCATGACTGAGGAAAATGAAAAGTCATCTTTTTTTGCAACTTTCATCTGTGGTTCATAAAAGGAGAACTATTTTAACACCAAAAATCCTCAAACATAAAGTCCTCCCTCCAGTTACTAGAATCTTCCAGACAGCAAGTGGGTAATTTCTTTTCATTACTGCTTTCAACTTGCAAAAAAAAAGCCCAAACTTCCCAAATAACCTCATGCAAAATGTTGGAATTTGCATGAAAAGGATGCCCATCTAAAATTACACAGTAAGTTAATAAGACTTTTAAACCCAAACAGAAAAATCCATGGGACTCCTACAGGGAAATTGGGTATTACACAGGAATGTCATAATACTGCACTGGATGAGAATGGCACTTGAGTTCAAAACAACAATGATCAACAGCTCATAGCTCAGCTGACTGCAGACAAATACAACACACACTGTACTACAGCATTTGTTCACTGATGCACAGAATAGATTTCCCAGACTTGTTCCCTTCTACTTCCCCAATCTTTCTGCTTCCACCACCTCTGGCTGTTACTGGATGAATGGCATGCTCTCTTTGTTCTCATTATCCCCTTCATGGTCTTCTTCTTCTTCTCCAGCCTCGCTTGTCTCTGTGCTGTCGTTGGCCATCTGCAGGATGAAAGATGAAGGACATCACAGCACTTTTCATACTGTTTCATTCATTCTTATTTCAGTTTGATTCATTTGAAAAAGTGACTTTAAAAATGAAAGAAGACATGGCTGCAACATGAAAATAAACATGCTGTCTATGTAAAACTTTTGTTGGCACTACACCACTTCCAGCTAAAATTGTAAGCTGTTTCCTCACTGCTCACAGCTGAATTTACGGAACATAAAGCTGCTCTGTGGGACAACTGCACAAGCAGACTCTGATCTGTGCACTTTTACTGATACTGAGGCTCTTGGATAGGAAATACAACTGTGTAGGAAGTATACAGAATGTGGCAGAGCTCTGGTTTCAATGCCTGTATCTGCTCTTCCAGTATTCTTTAATGCCAGCTAATGGATGGCATCTAGCCCCACATGAAGGCAAACTGCCATGAAAATTCAGAGCAGTGAATCTGTAGATGCTGGCACAATATACCCATGGCAGTGCAAATTTTGGATCATACAGGAATGGGGAGAAACTGCATTTTGGTGGTTTTATTGAAGATGCCTGTATAGGTACTAGGCAATTGCAGAATCAGGACAGTATTTAAGGAGCACATTGTGTTTTTTCACATGTGAGATTTATTACAAGCTGTGTAAAGGTGCAAGACTCTCCTGTACTTCACCTTGTCTCTGGAGGCACAATCAGAGTGTAAACTGGACAGGTGTTTAACAGCATAGGTTAGTATCAGTGAATTCTCTTATACACCAAAATTACCTCTTCTAAGGACACAAGAAGATTCTTGTATTAGCTTATACCTATTTCAAAACCAACTAAGTAAGGGACTGCTTTACTTTTTAAAGAGAAATACTGTGACATTGTATATTCCCTGTTTGATTACTAGCCTGTGCTGGAGCTAAGTGTCTTAAACACAACCTGATTTTAATGCAGAAAAGCAATGGTCTGAAGTTATCCACATTTTTGAATCAACACACTTTCATGAAAGTGTATCAAATTTTTTCTTACCTTTTAACCAATGGCTATTGTGAATATACAGTATCAAGAGAACAGGTGGAATAAATGTGTTAATGTTGTGTTACAGATTCTTGTTTACAGTTTTAGGATACAGTTCAGCTACAAGATAATGCCCAGTTTCCACACGTGAGGTCCCAAAAACCTTTTTCCTTGCAGTGATTTTGTACGTGATTTGGGGCCAATTTCAGAGTAAGCACAACTAAGAGCTTAACTGTAACTCCAGGTTCTTTTCTGTTCTTCTGAAACAGAAGCTATCTCCAGTTTGAAAGCAAACTTCAGACATTAGTATTGATTTTAAGTCAGATTTTCAATTTCTTCTTTACTGCTCTTCCCTACATCATCAGTGAATGTTTAGGCGTGCGTCTGACTTCCTTTTACTACTGCTCTCTAAAGTTTCAGTGCCATGTCAAGTGCTCCAATGAGGTGGACCAGAGCTCCATCACAACTATCTTCCTTCAGAACATTTCTAGAAGGACGTATTTAGATATTGTGCTTAATCATGGAATAGAATAGAACGTATTATAAAAAATTACAAGACATTCTTACCAAAGTTATACTCTGACTGTTTTGGGGGAATCAGAAAGCACTTCTGCGTTTGTACACTGCAGTAATATTGAGTGTGTCTCTTTCTGTTCAATCCACTTATTAATACAGGAATTTTGCCTTATGTGAAATGTCTATTTGTTTTTCATCACACGGACAGTAATAGATGTGGCAGTTTTAGTCTGATATAACACTTCAGACACATTTTGGAGAGGCAGATAGCCATTCAGGATAGAAAAGTAACTTCTGGGATTCTAGGAATTACAGCTGTATTTCACTTTCTATTAAGTACATAAATTATTGGTTGTATTTAGGTGCTATGATTTAGAATAAAACAGTATAAAACCAAAATCATAAGGGACATGTCTCCGAAAGTCCCTACCATGTTTTAACCTCTGTGACTGTACACCATGTATGTATTGCTTTGCACTCACCAGTGGAGTGGGTGCTTTCTCCACATCCAGAATTAGTTTCCCTATGTTTCCTCGGTCATGGATTCTCTGCATGGCTTCCTTCACCTGGAAGACAGATAAGCCATTGATAATTTTCAGGCACAGAATAAAAGAATCCTGAACTCCTTCCTTCCAAACCCAGCAATATTTAAGGCATGTCATGTGCAAGGTTATTCAAACAGCTGCTTGAAACAAATTTAATAGTTAGTGACACATTTTTCACATAATTTGTAAGGCCTGATTTTTGCATTGTGTTTGTCAAAATGGGATATGAGTCTTGATGACAGTTTCTGAATAGCATAATACATATATAATGTTAATGGAGTACAAAAGTAATGGTTAGCTGAGGTGAAGAGAGAAATACTGGCTCAGGGAGTTAATCCTTAGAGGTCATTCATTAGATTTTCTCTTTGCACAGTATTTATCAACAAACACTATTTTCACTGGAAGTATGAAATGTTTCTCTAATTGACCTTTGATATTTTCCCATTCATTTATTTTTCATTCCTATAGAGGGAATGCCATATCCAGGCAGTGGCTGTGATTAATGCAATGCAGTGGTGTATTTCTTTCCTTTTTTCTCATTTTGAATAAGTAGTGTCCTACAGATACCACTAAGACTAGACATTTAACAGCTGGCTGCAATTAGCACATGTGAGAAACGAACAAAAACTTCTTACTAGTGCACTGGAGAGGAGTTTATTTTGACGCACGACATTTCAAAACTCATGAGAGCTCAGTGTTGATGAATTGAAATAGTGTGTGCATTGCACTGAATGTCCAGTGTACAGCATGTAGACCACTATTAAATCACTGAAAAGTGGGAGATGTCAAGAGTTCCCTCACTTTCATGGTGGGAAACTTCAGGAACTGAAATGTACACATAAAGGCTGTCTCATATCACTATTTTTTGCTGGCATAACAGGATACGTTGAGACAAGAAAGTTTTATGTTAGTAGAATCTACCATCTGTGACACAGTTTTATTGAATATTTTAAGAATAATGGCATAGAAGTTTGAAACAATATGCTGACTTGGGAACAAGTGGGTCTCACAATATATTTAAAAGCCTGAATTGGGGTCCAGACACCTAAGACAATTACTGAATGTCTCCAGAAGGAGGTACGAGATTTTTAAAGATACTAAGCAAATACAGATTTCAGCTTCCAATTAAATTTAATGGATGCTGTGCACAAAATGTCTTTGCCATCTGTTAGCCTTATTTTGAAAGCTGACTTCAGTGAACTCAGTATTACAACCTTAATTTTGCAAAGTGGTTCCCTCAATTAGAAAACACCAGACTTGACTTAAAACTAAAACACTTCAGAACAGAAGAAAAATTGCACTAGAAAACACAATGACTTTCTAAGTTAGGGCATAACTGTAAATTAACCTTGGAAAACATGGTCTGACATTGGACAGAATGTTGACTTCTAATTTATGAAGTTCCCTTAGAGTATAAACAATACCTAACTATCCTGTAAGACTTGTTCTGCACAATGGACAATATTCTTTTAAGAATATCCAACAAACAATCTGAAGAAGCAGCAGCTGTATTAAATTTTATTACTCTTATTATCCAAAATCAAGGTTTTAGGAGTCTAGAGCACAGCATATACAACCAACCTGTATGTGACAAAATTGGAGAAATCAGCAAACACACTTGCCTGTCCACTGAAAGCTACTACCAGAACATCATGTGGAAAGCTATTACTAGAACATCATGTGGAAAGCAGGGTATGTAACATTTATTTTAATTTGTATCATCATATTTAGCAACGCAAATTTGAAAAAATGTGCTTTCCTTGCATTTTTACACGCACAGTGTCAAATTTAAGATTCTGGAGAAAGGTTCAGGAGTTGTTTCCAGGACTCTTGTAAGTAGCTCGCAAATGCAAACAGCAGGCAGAGGCAAAGGGAACAATGAAACTTGAACAATAATAGTGGCTATGGAATCCAGATGGAGCTATTAAAATATATATTAAAATTTTGAAAAAGAGTTTGAAGAGCTGATACAACATCTGCATATTTTAGTGTTATTTGCAACTTACCTACCCAGTTAGTCAAATGCTGTACAAGTGCAATGCCATTCTGAATTAAGAGGCCATTTCATAAATGAGTAATTTTTATGTTTATGGCTGCTAACAGTCCACTTATTCAACCAAGAATGCAACTACTTGTTTCCTAAGGTGCCTGAATATTAAAAACCATTTCCTCTTATACTATAGAGAGCAGAGAGCACTAAAACCCTTCTTTGCTATGCAAGTACGGTTAAGGCGTAAGTTGTCCTATGCAGACTATATAAAAGCATTTCCTTTTCATGTGAACATTTAACTGCTGCATATAGTTTGGTTTCACAAAGTGTGGTATGGGGCTTCTGCTAAGCCTATGCCCCGGCGTTTGCACGTTATCAATGAAGACAGTAAATCACTGTGCACTTGGTTAAAATCAGAACCAGGCTTAACTGGTAGTACAGTGAGTATGGGAGGTTCTCTGAAGTGGTTGAAATTTGATTCAAAATAAATATCCCTTCCAAGTAGCAAGGATCAAAAGGGATTCACTCCTCTTACAGAATAGTACTTTTCCCCAATTATTCTATATTGGTTGCTATCTGCATTTGTCAGCTCAAATCCAAGAAAATCAACCCAGTGTACTTTTGTTTATATGGACGAGTCAACTGAATTTCATCTTCTGCAGTATCATCAGCAGAAAGCTCTTGGATTGGAAATAGTGCAAAGGAGTGTTTCCACTGGAATAAAGGACAAAAACTGTGCTGGCCTTTGCTTGCTTTCAGTATAGCTCAGCCCTTAGAGGGTTTGTGTCTAAACTAATACTGAACTACAAATTTTAGCCTTGAGAGGCCAGAATTGGCACAGTATGTATCACAGAGCCCTGCACTGGAGTCAGATTTTCATACGTCAATGGACAATTGGAAAAATGCTTCCACTTTCCATATTATTTATGCAATGAAAGTTGGTAGACCAGTAATGGAAAAACAAGACCGACCCAGAATGCTGCAGAGACATGTACTGTCTGATGAATCCAACATGGGCACTCTTAGGCAGCACTGGAAGAAAATGATTGATAGTAAAGGAGAAAGAAAAGGAATCCCAAGTTTGCCCTTTCCCTCAAGCTCACTTGCATTAATTCGTATTTTAGTGTGACATTCTGTTTTTAAACATACTCTAGAGCACAATCATCTTCCCCTACCTGCTCAGTCTAGTGGAAAATGATAACAAACACAGGAAAAGGACCTTTCTAATTCATAGAGTGTTTGCTCTAGGGAACATGCTCTTATAACTGAAGATTTTGAACAAGTATATTTCTCCCATCCCTTTCACCTCTACAAACCGTACAATCATGGATATATTATCACATATCCTCATTCAAGTGTATTTCAGCAATGACAGTGAATCTGGAAATTAGGATGACCTATGCAATAATGCGGTCATCTGTAAAACAAAACCATATGACCTTAGAAAGAAAAAAAACAATGAACCTCTAGCTCCTTTACAAGTCATGTTTACCATGCCCTGTGAGAAATAGTCAGATTCTAATTTTTCATCATAACTCCCCAAGTGCTGCAGTTTTTCTGAGCCTTCTGTGAGCTCTTTCCTCATACCACTCTGCTGGACCCAAGCAGAGAGGCAAGGAATATAAAATATTTAGAGCTCAATTGGGAATGCACAGAACCATCACACTGTGTTGGCATTATAAGCAAAATTCAGCAGCTTTAGCATTTTTAGGAAAATTTTAATCTATTAACACACATTTGCACATTTAGAAAGGTGTTATGCTACCAATGCTACCAACAGAATTCTTCACAGAAGCCTTGATACAAACACAGCATAAAAAACCCCACAAAGCTGGCTTGTTGTGAACTAACTTATTCAAGCGTATTTTCCTAAGGGGATGTTATGGTTGGGATTTTGGAGCTTCTCTTGGATCCAAGCCATTTCTGTCCATCTGTACTGTGCATTACACTGCAAAAAGCAACAATTACTGTCAATAGACCTTGGTAGGAGAGTAAGGACAGAAACGCCTTCATGTTACCGGTCAGCGAATGTTCTAAAAGAGGTTTCACAACAGCTGTGTTCTCTGAAAGTATAAAGTTTGACAGCTGTACTGAATCATCTCCAACACTGCCATAGTGTCTCTCTTGGAGTACTCCTCAAAAGCAACAGGAAGTTTGCCTATTCTACCCTCTTTTAAAATTCATAAATTTCAAGTACAAGCTTGTATAAAACAAAAAAAGAGAAAAATAAAAATTATTTTGGTTTCTTACTAGCATTTCTAAAATAGCAAAGAACCAATAATAGTGAAGCACTATTAGTAACGTATTAATACTGCAACTAAGAAACCAGCTTTTAGGAATTACATTATAGTATATTAAATTACTTACGTAAGTTTAACAAAGCACTCTCTCAGCACTCCTGACTAATTTGCAATACATTTCTATATGAGAAAACTATGTAAAAGGGCACAAAATTAAGCATGCTATTACCTGTAACCACTCAGACTGGAGAAAAAGATCTTCATACTGAAATTAAAAATTGCAACCGCAACACATTTTTTTACTCAAATAGTTTCTTCAAATCTAAAATCATGAAAACCAGGTATATCCCAAACACAGCAAGTAGCAATATACTATCAGATTATGCCATTATATTTGGATTATTTGCAGCTAGTTTATGATTACATTGGTTTTCCATAGCTTTCGATAGAAGCATTTTTTCCTATGTTCTCCTTGGATTTTTCTTGTTTGTTTTTAGCCCTGTGTTTTCCCCAGGTGAAATGAGTAACTGGGACAGATTTCTTGTCTGGCTTTTCATCTGAAGTAACTCATTTCAGGTCCCCACCTATAGTGTCCTGGTAGTCCTGGCACCAATCCTTTAATTTGTTGAAGCCTGCAACTGAAGTGAGACAAAAGAGGAGAACTGTGCCTTAAAGAAGGTACCTTACAATTTAACCTTGGATGGCCATTACAGAACAAACTGAGCTCCTGAACAGAGATGTTTTCCTAGACGTAAGTCTGACCCTTTATAAATAATGTATGCCTGAAATAA